ATCTGACAACATCTATTCCAGATGAATTGCAACAGTCCCTACTGCTTCCCACTTGGATTCTTTTAAAGCTGCAGTGTTTGGGTCAGCACAGAAAATTTTCCGTGGATGCAGATTCTAAACTGATCCACATTGGCTCCTCATGTTGCTAACTCTGCTGCCTTCATCGAAGGACTGAACCGTATACACATGCCCTTAACTTCCAGATTCGCCGTGGTGAGGCCATTCACAAGCACAAGCTTCTTCAAATGCTCTCCTGGCTAGGAATTCAGAGCATCCCAGGAAAGTCTCTCCCAGAGAACTATGGGTGTGGGGGATACAATGCTGTCACTGGAACCTCTTTTAGCACTGAATCTGAACTTGTTAATTCCTGGTAAAATCTGAATTCCCCTGCTGGAGAGCTGAGCTCATCCTCCACCAAAATTTAGGTTCAATTTCTTAAAATGTCTTGCAACCATTGACCAAGCTGAAAGGCATGCTTTATCCTCTCTACAATCCATGGAGTCCAGAGTATTGTAAAGACAGCCACTGAGACTAAGGGATATAACCACAGGTATGTTCGAGTGTGTAGGATGGAAAACCATATAACTGAGCTTTTGTTGGATCATTGAACGGAACTGTCTCCAATTTCACTGTATGAATGTTCACTTTATATGCTTTAATTTAGTGATATGGACAACTGTTTCTGGGAAGATAATATGTAACCTATTAACTGGTGATTTTGTACTGTATATATTTTTTTCTAGAAATACTGTATTATTAGTACCCATTTACTGCATTGTTTTTTATGTCCTTTCTTTTTTTTCTTTCTTCTTTTTCGTCTGTCTTTAAATAAGAAAAATAAAAAGACAGCCATCAAGGAGGGCACAGAGTTTGTATGCTCACTTCCTTAAGCAACAACTTAACCAGCAACTCATGTCAAGGTGGGCCTACCACATTTGTCCAGTGACATCACAGGAATAGTGGACATAACCAGCAATGGGGTAGGAGTCAAGATCATGCTATCACATTTAATTGCAGCTGTAAGTGATAAGGAGCAAACACTGCCAGATCCACGCCCTCCATACATTTTTCAAACTCCAGCCTGTGTGTTCCCAATTTAAGCTCTGTAGGCTCTGATCTCTTATCCAGGGACCCTGCAGGGCTGAAGCATGGAGCCCATTTTGGCCTGGGGTTACTTCCACTTTCCATTTCAGACCAATGTCTTTCTCTCAACTAGCAATGACAAACTAAAACTTCTAGTAAGAGAATAGATGTCATACACAATTGTAGCAGAAGCTACTAACTAATCCACAAACCTATGACAGCATGTGTACAGATATTTTAAAATTTCAGTGAAAGGTACTTAAGAAGGCTTGGAAATATTCTTCTATGGGAAGGCCTAATTTTGAAAATTCATGATTTTTCTTTCTAAAATATGTAAATATAACAGATCACAATTAAAATTCAATCAAGTGGTTTCAACTCAATAAGTAGTTCCAAAAATCTATTTAGAAAAATGATAGCAGTGTTGAAAATAGATATTTTTTACACCCATACTGCAAATTCTGATAATAAGGGTCAAAGCAGCCACTGATGTACATGATCATTTAATATAGAACTGATGGAACATTTCAGCTGAAAAGGAAAATTAGATAATTATGTTCATCTCCTGAGGGAAGTTAGGCCCTGTATAACATCAGAATAAAACAAGATGAAAGTAAATATCTAAAGATACATAAAATGCAACACTAGAAAATGAATTGGGTTAAGACGTATTTTTAAACATGTATAAGGTTATGATTAAGGAAGTTTTTAAAGAAGAAATACAAGATCAGGCAGTCAGAAAGGAGCATGGTGTAACCCAAGAAATTGAGGGAAGTAAAGCAGAACTAAAGAGGTGATCTAACAGAAAGTACTTAAGAAACAGTAATTTTAAGAATTCTAGAAAGTGCCTGCAATTTAATAAGAAAAGCAAAAATAATTTTTATAAATGGAAGAGAAAACACAAACATTTCAATCTGAATGGACCATAACTATACTGGCCTATTTACATTTTATCTTATTTTTAATTGCATGTTTGTATTCCAAAAGGTGGTACTTGTTTGAGGATGTTGGTCCACTGTTCATTTGAAATAATTTACCTTCTTTCTTTTTCCTTCTCCTCACATGAACTCCTTTGTCATTGCCAAGAATCGCCCTTTAAGCTTTATCTTATTTTTTCCTTTACTTTATTCATTTATTTATGCATGTTTTGGATTTCTCATTAAAGGAATTAAGAGACAATTTTATATGTCTGGCTTGTTTTCTTTTTTAAAATAATGACTTTATTTTGTTAAAATTTGCACACTACACAATTTAAAAGCTAAACATTTATGACTCACTATGTTTTCGCTTATGGACAGAGTTGTACAACCTTGACCACATTGAAATTTAGGTAATTTTTGTTTTCTCAAGTCAAAACACTCAACCCACTAGCTGTCATCTCCCCATATCCTCTGATCTAAATCTAGAAAATCGTAGGCTCACTTTCCTTAGCTTGAGGGTCTCAATTTTTAACTATCCATTTCCCCGAAAATGAAACAATTTCACCTTTTGTAGTTAAAATATATACTTTTTATACAAATACCATATTTTCCTCATCTACTCACCTATCCATACATCCAGACTGCTGCCAGACCTTTGCTATTTTGAATTAGGATGCTATAAACCACAAGGCTATGCATGTATCACTCTATGATGATGTATTTATACCTTTTGAGAATACACTTGGGAGAGAGATGGCTTGGCCAATAGGACTTTCTATTGTGAGTTTCTGATGAATGTCCAGACTGCTTCTAATAATTTAAATTACTAGCAACATTGCAGCACTGTTTCCCTTTCCCACATACACCCATCTGCACCCTGCCAGTCTTCATTGCTTTTTGTGTTTGTGTTATCAATGATTGTCATTTATACTGAAGTAAACTGGAACCGCAAAGTCATTTTGAATTGCATGTCGATAACAGCTAAAAAGCCTAAACATATTTACTTTTTTGATGGACCTATTGGCTGTTTGTCCTCTTTTTGAGAAGTGATTATTCAGTTCAATTGTGCAATTCTGATTGGGTTATACTGGGTAATAACTTTTTGACCTTTTGTATACACTAAGTATCAGTCCTCCACCAGAAGTATAACTAGAAAACTTTTATATCATTCTGTAGGGTTTTTTCACCTAATGGTTATTTCCTTTGTTTTTCAGGGCATTTTTCATTTGATACATGCCATTATTGTCTTCTGTGTTATTGGGATTCTAGTCAGAAATATTTGTTTTTTGCTTTTTATAAGAAATACAAATGGAAAAATTTTCATCATCATTAGCCATTAGAGAAATGCAAATTAAAACAACAACAGGATTCCATCTCACTCCAGAAAGAATAGCCAGGATCAAGAAGACCACCAACAACAAATGCTGGACAGGCTGTGGGAAAAAGGAACTCTTCTGCACTGGTGGTGGGAATATAGACTGGTGCCACCATTGTGGAGGTCAGTCTGGAGATTCCTCAAAAAGGTGGGATTGGAAGCCCCATTCTACCCAGTTATTCCAGTGCTAGGCATATTCCCAGAAGAACTGAAAACATCATACCACTGTGATATATATGTGCACCCATGTTTACAGTAGCATGATTTATGATAGTCAAATTTTGGAAACAACCTGTCTAGAAACTGAGGAATGGATAAAAAAGTTGTGATATTTTTATACAATGGAGTACTACTCATACGTAAAGAATGATCACATTGAGATATTTATAAATAAATGGATGCAACTTGAAACCATGTTCATAAGTGAAATAAATCTAACTCACATATATAAATATCATGTAGTCTCCCTATTGTAGGAAATGATAAGAGTACATAAGATTTTATGGTAATCATGATTCCCCATTACATTGCTTTGAAGCTTTATGTTTTCATTCATTAATGGAAATGATTTTTTCTGTTTTGTTTGATTTTAGTACGTGTGATTATATGAACAGATATTTTGAAGAAAACAAAACATTGTGGAAGCCATTGCTGATTTAATATAATATTGCTTTGAAATCCTACCAGGTTTTTGTTTTCCTGTTTCCATTGGTTCTATCATGTTGTGTCTTATTAGATTTTAATATATATGATAGCATAAATAAATTCTTATGGAAAATGAGATAATATAGTAGCCATTGTTCACTTTCTGTTATTTGGTTCTGAATGCCCTGTAACATTTTCTTTTTCTTGAATGGTTTTATACTATTTTGTTATGCTTGGCAGTATTGTATGTGAAGGTATGCCCAACTATTTCAAAAAAAGAAATTTTGGTAGCTACTGTTTAATATCCGGTTGTCTTGTGTTGAAGCACTGTATTGCTTATATTGTTCTGTTCTGATCTGCTTTGTTATGTCCTCTTTTGTCTTAATCTCTTTAAAATAAAATAAAAAATAAAAAGTATTCTATTTCTAATCTGTAAAATTGGGGAGAATAATGCTTCCTACTGGGAGTTGCTGCAAACTGAAATGCAGAAGACCTAATGCAACTCTGGCAGCCAGTAAGTGCTTAACAGGGTTTTTTTTTTTTTCTTTCCATGCCATTCTTCCCACAACCTCTATTATGTGTCCCTCAAAATCTTGTGTTAGGAAGATGATTACATCACAGGACACTCTATTCATCAGTGGAATTCTTGAGCTTAAAAATATAAAGAGAACATAAAGACTCAGAAGCCAAAACTAGATGTTTGCCTACAGCGAGCCACATCTGTTCAACTTATTTAATGTTGATTTTTAGACAGATGCTTGTTAAGTCTCAGTGACCCAAGTTGAGCCCAAACTTATGGTCTCCAGCTTTACTGTCTCACAACATTGGAAAGCTTGTATTTACCACCATGTCCAGATAAAAGCTCACGTATATATGCATTGATGTGAATCCATAGCTATATAGTTACTAATAAACATATGGCAGATAAACTATTTCTTACCATATTATCTAAAACATCTGGAAATAAGCATGCCAAGAAAGTTTATTGTATAAATATATGTAGTATAACATAAATGTACATTATGCACATACATAGCTGTCACTAAGGATAGTTATAAACAATAAAAGAAAATACAAATATGGGTTGGGACATTAATCTACTGCATATCTCCAAGTTCTTCCACAAAATAGTCTATAAATTGATTACATTGATATCACATAATCAGCAGTGTTTTTACTTCCATATTACCAGCCAATTCCATAATCCTAAAAGCCATGTGAGACAGAATGCTAAAAAGCAACGAAGCTAATTGCAAAATGGAAATGTGACAAGACAAGTATATCTACAACTACTGAAATGTAGTATAATCAGTATATTGAAGACAGGCTCTTCTTTTGAAAGAAAAAACGATTCAGAAACCCAGTGCCATACAAGACAAAAGTTATTACCTTTTTAAAATGAGAGAAAATGCTGGCAAAGCCAAAGGAAGACAAGAAAAATGTCAATAATTTAATCAGAAAATATAGGATGAATTCCATCATAAATAGGAAATAATGTATCAAGAATAAAATTGAATTTAAAGACATTAAGACTACAGCTTCTACTGGACCATTATACTATTAGATAAAAGAAGTTGCATAATCTAGTAAGGATATAAGTTCTATAGTATAATACAGTATCTGACTGTAAATATGGTTCAGCTTTGACTTCAGGACAAGTATATATAAGAAGACAACTGTGTGTAATGATAAGAAAGCTCCTTTCTCACAGAATGTGCTTTGTCCCTGATACTAGTAAGAGAATTTCTCTCTGGTCTTAACAAAATAATATAGCACTTGCAGACAAAAATACAGCCAAGCAGCCCTGCACTGGGAGCTAAGATGGAGAAGACCTCCATAGTCACCATCTCCTTGCCCTGCTGCTGAAGTAGACAGGAAGGAAGGTGATGCACACACTGAAAAACAGTAACATGGCAGAAATTTGGTTTCACTGAAGGTGTCATCCAGGTTCCTGACATCTTCAGTGGTGACCTGGAAAACCACAATGAAGCTGAGCATGATCAGGGAAACCAGTTATCTTAGGACAAAGTAGAAGACGGTCAGAGAACCATTGTTGCACACTATGATGATGAAGCCATCCTCAGAGTGTGCATCTGTGTCAATGTAGTGTGGATTTGTTCCCACCCAGACTCCACAGAGAGTGAGCTAGATCAGGATGCAGATGAGGATGATGTATTTTGGTGCCTCTGATACCATCAACTGCCTCATTCTTCTCCCTGGAGCAGTGACTTTAAAGGCCAGCATTTCAGTGATGGTTTGGAAATAGAGACAGGGAAGACAATTGCAAATGTGATATGCTGGAGGATGCAGGTGACTTTGTTGGGATGATCAATGAAGAGCAAGGAGCAGAGGAAACAGAAGGTGAAGGAGGTGAGCAGGTTGTAGCTGAAAACTTGGTTATTGGCCTTGACGATGGGAGTGTCTCAGTGCTTTACATACATGGAAGAACCAGAGCTGTGAGAACATTGAGACTCAGGGCAGTGCCAACCAGTACTTTTCCCAAGGAGGCTTCATAATCTAGAAATCTCACAGCTTCTTGTGGTTTCTCTGAGTGTTTGTGTATTGATTAACCAGATACTCCACACAGTGATCCATACCTACTTTCATATGCTAATAATTTCTTTTTGTCACAGATCCATCCCTAGAAAATCACTGAATTTCAACTAAATTGTCACTTTTTAATTTTTTTCTTTTCTTTCTCTTTCAGAATATGCGACTGATCTCACAAATTTTGAGACATATTCCAAGCCCTTTTAAATTTTATTATTTTGATTAACAATCCTCTTAAGTCATTATGTCACCAAGGCTATTTTCTGACTTAAAGTCCTCTTTACTCAGTGTTACAAAACTCTGGATTCTAGGCATGCATTACCACATTTCATTTTCTACCTGCTTCTGGACCCCCCAAAAAGATAAGTATATTAAGCATAACTTTTAAATAATATTATTTGGTGTGTAATGTCCTTTTAAACCTGACATATTCATAAAAATGTTCTTTTTTACACAGGAATAAAGGCTCTCCCTTTATTACTTCCTACACTGTTATCTTTTATTTGATATAAATCAAGTCTTCACAAGTGATTCCCAAGATAATCAATGTAAAATCTCATACCTGGAAGTCCACATAATTTGGTGGCAAAATACCATACATATGAAAACACATATTTAATATTAAGCCATTCCATTTTTGAGTCTCTCCAGTTATGAACTTGCTTTCTGCAACCACTTGCTTAAACTTTATTGTCAAAGAGGTATTTCAATGGTTTAATTCTGGTGTCTTTCAAAATGGCTTCAGGTCATATCACTACATATTTAATGATTTTTAACTGTTACAAAATCAATTTTCAAAATTTTGTGTAGTAGAGTCTTATCACTAATGTGTATAAATGGTTTTTTTGGTAAGTATTAGATTCCATAACTAGGAAATCCAATATAATTTATTCACTTACATGGATATTATACCTAGAAACTAATATCACTGGAAAATCCTATCCTTTATATTTGTCCCTTTTGAGTGTAATTTTTGCATACTTGTTTTGTCTTCATTGCACTGACCATGATGAAGAATGAAATGTGGCCTGACCCCAGCCCAGGATGCACTCACTGAGACTAAGGCTGGATTCTGCCTTGCATGGGCCCCAATGGAGCCATGCACTTCATCTGCAGAGCTGACAATTCCAAGCACTGCACTGCAGAGATCTCCTGGCTCCAGCTACCTTTTTCAGATACAGGCCTGCTTGATATGCTGGTATCCTCCTGGGTTCAGCTCCCAAGCCTCAGTGACATGCTCTCCCCAGGATGTTCATAGTGTCCCCAGGGGTATCAGGAGGCAGCAGCAACCTAGGGCTCCTGGTGAGTCTGGGGGCTTAAGGACAGAGGGCACTTCCCCCTTTCTTCTCTATGACCCCAGCCCCATTGCACCCACCCACATCCTGTCTAGTGGGGCCACACGTAAAATCTGTACCCTGTTTCCTGATGCAAGAAAGCAGCTCACACATGTGGCATGCCCAGTGAGGTGCTTTTACAACTGTCCACTTAATCATCTCAGAAACTCCTGGGGAGATGTTTCATTGTCTCTTTCAAGTATAAAGGAGCAGAGTCACAGAGAAGGTAGACGGCTTGCTTAGGACCATATGTATAGTGTGGTGGCTAATAGGTGCTGATCAGAATGCAAACTGAGGTTCGCAGAAGAAAGCAAATACACACCTGGGGCTTACCCCTGATGGGTAGGCACCCCTGGCTCAGAGCTGCCAAGCAGAACAGCCTGGTACCTAGGCCAGCTCTTTGGCAGACCAGGCCCACTGCAAGCTCCGTCACAGTGACTGCAGGAGGAAACCGGCATCCAAACACATGGAGGACTTAGGCATGCCTAAGTTGAAATAAGTGAGCTCTCCTCTAACTGTCCTACCATAGGGTGGAGCGTGACAGACATCATTCATAATCCAGGGCCAAATTCAATTTCTACCCATTTACAACATGAACATGCCTGTCTCCAGTGTGTCCTCCTAGAGATCATCCTGCATCTGGCACTTGCTCTGCCAAGGGCCAGTAACACATGGCATACAGGGAGCTGAGAGCTTCCGGTCCCCAGCAGAGCCAATGAGGAGCCACACTGCTCAGAGCTGGAAGACAATCAGTGAACATCAGAGGGTAGAGGGGTGCCCTCTTTCCCACATTGGTAGGGGTCCAGAAAAGTCTGGCATGGGAGGGGGAGCAAAGCCAAGATGGCTTTCTGCATGGCCTTTGGGTGACAGAACAGCCCTAAGGAGTGAACAGACAGATAGTGCACGTACCAGGTGAGCAAGAGCCCAGGGCCACCCAGCTGCCAGAATGTCCCCTTCCATACTCATGGATTCAGCTCTGCCCTGCCTGCAGTGGCCTGCTGAGTCCAGGCCCTTTCTGCATCTTGGCTGGGGAGCCTGCCAAAGGCCCTTGGCCTGTTCTCCCACCTGTCAGCAGTAGGTCAGAGGATATAACGAGGGAGGAAAGGGAGCAGAAAGGGCTCTGCAGCCAAGCACAGCAGGTCCACTGCACTCAGGGCCTTGGGAGACAGCACGGTCCCTAAGTGCAGACTCCCTGGGAGCCAGGACTTCGCTGCACTGCCATGATCCTTGCTTCTCGGGGTCTGGGGACAGTGACAACTAACTCTGGAGCCTTCTGTTTAATAACTGATGTATACTACAGATATATAACATACACGGAGAAAAGGACAAACACACTAACTCTAGTACACCTTCCTAAGTGATGCAGAGATGAAGAAATCCAGTATGAGCAGTCCCAGGACTCCTAAAAATCACTTTGCAAACTGCTGTTAAGGTCTTTTTCCATTCACAAATGAGGTTGTCCCAACCTGGGTCAGGCTGCATGGAAGGAGGATGTCTGTCAAGAGCCATGCAGCAGCTTAAGGACTGTGCCAATGATCAGAGCTTGGAGGAATCAGCTTTTGACCGTGGGTCTGACTGATGGCCTTGAACTCTACCAACAGAAGAAAAGAAAGGCTTTCTTTGTCTTGCCTGGATTCTGTAGGTTCCCAGTGAGTCTCTCAGGAGTGTTCCTTGGTGATCCCTGGCCTCCACACTGCCCCAGGACTTTTGAAGGGCCATAGCTGCAGACCTCTCCCCACATGTGGAGAGATCCACACAGAAGATCTCTTTCCTGCAAAAAGATCCATGACACCCTGAGATACCGGTAACTTGCAAGTTTACACACATGCAGTGCCATGTCCAGTGAATCCATTGTTTAGAGCCCTCTTCTGATTACAAATTCACTCCACAGGTATGATTTGTCTCAGAGTATCACTTACCTCTGCATAAAGATGGAATAGTTTCCCTGCATTAATTACAGGTGGATATTCCGTGAGTCTGCCATGTATAATCATCCAAAGGACTTCCAAAAGTGAAGGTACTTCAATACTGGTTGGGAAGTAAAAATGATGGATTCCTTTGTAAAAACAAAAGGCACAAATAAAAATTAAAAATTTATTTCATTTTTATTATTACTGCTTGCTATATTATAGAATGCTGTGGTTTGTTCAGCAACTTCCTATGTAAATTTAACATACCTTGATTTTTCAGAACCTCCCACCCCTCTTCCTTTACCCGCCCCTTCCCAGGGATATCCTGTACCTGTTTCCAAAGTCTGCCTCCCTGCTTTCCTGTCACCCATCTTTATCTGTCAGTAATTTTTTTTCATTTCTCAAATAAGAGAAAACATGAAATTTAACTTTCTAACTCTGGATAGTTTTACTTCACTTGACAGCTTCTAGCCCCATCTATTCTCCCTATAACTGTCATGATTTCATGCTTCTTTATTACCAAGTAAAAAAAATATAGATTTTGCAAATCAACTTTTCTAAAAAAAATAACAAAGGTCAATAACAGTACAATTATTCCTCCATCAGCATTAGTGAGCTCACCAAACATATGTCATCTGATTATCACTAAATTATGACTTTAATTTTTCTATCAACTTGAAAGTTTTTCAGACTACATGGTTTGAAGATGATCAAAGGTTTTAACAAGAACTTCTTTTCTTAATTCTTTTTTCTCGTTTGACATAGGTTTTCCTTGTGTAATTCAGGCTTCCCTGAATACAGTATGTGTTACAGGCTGGCCTAGAACCTCAGTGATTTGCTTGTTTCACACTTCCAGGTGCTGCAATTGTTACCACACCTGCCTAGCCAGGCCTCCTAATAGTCACTTAAAACACACTTACAATATACTCTTGACTTTAACAAATCTGAATTGACCCCAGGACATGGAATTTCTCATGTTGTAAACTGCACTATAAATAAGGATGCCTTCATGGGCCTGTACAACTTTGCATACAATCACTTCTTTGCCTGCTCTTAAGAAGCAACATACAAGGATCACAAGCACACAGTGAAAATGGAACTTCGTTCGTGCTTCTGTCTTACTCTGCAGCTCCACCTCTCTCTCTGTACCCCGTGAAAGGTAAACATCAGGACGATGTTGCTGTTCACAGAGGTGTGAGTGGGAAGGGTGAGGTCTCAGTGACTCACCCAACCACAAAACCATGGCTTCCCTGGGGCAAAACAGAGCTGCTGACTTAACTCAAGGCATTTTAAAAGCATGCAGATTCATACTACACTCCCCACCAATTTTCCAATTACAGATACAATAAAAAGCATCACAATACTTGTAAAAGCAAATAAAATGTCACTGTTTAAAAGACCCTCTCCTTCCTCCCAAAGTGTACCATGATCTACACTGACTCTACACTCAATCTTGTTTCATTTTGCTGTTTTATTTTAGTACATAAAGTATCTTTTATCCTCCGTCATACAAAATCAAAATTCCAAAAAGTACTACTTATAAGGTACAGCACAGTGACAACACAGTTTTAAATTCCATGATTGCATGACAAGTTTTAAATCTCTGAGCTCACTCTATGTTCCTGATCTATCATTTATCCCATGGTTGTGCACTGTAATTGAAAGCACGAAGGACACACAGTGCCACCCCACACACTCTGGCAGGACTTTGGTGCATAAGAGTCCCAGCCACGGTGCAGCATCCAACATTGCTTCCATTCATCAAAAACAGATTTTGTTCAATTTCCCAAACTGAAAGAGTTATTTGTGGTTTGAGTTAAAGAAGAGTCCAGTTAAAATATGAATACATTTTTCATTCAGTGGTAACTTAGGCCAATGCATGCACTCCCAACCATCATCTGACCTTTGTGACTTGTACTGTTTTTGTTTTTTTTTTCTTTTTATCAGTACCAAGGATTGAACTCACAACTGCCTGCTTGCAATGCAGGTGCTTATGCTGCTGAGCTAAATCCCCAGCTGACTTGTCCTGTTTCTAAGGACTCACAATGCCAAGGCTTTTGTCTTGGCAGGCTTTTGTCTATCTTTCTCCTTTCATGGTGGTTATTATTTTTTTTTGCTCTGTGCCAGAATGCAAGTCAAGGAAAACACAAGAAAGAAGAAAACAATGCTTTCCTAATAAAGATGGGCAGAGAAGTTTAACAGAGATGAGGGGAGTGTGAAAAAAGAAACAAGGAAATATCATGTACAGGTACAAATTCCCTATGATGGGTGTGATCATTACATATATTAAATTATATCACTATAATTAATGTTTAAAAACAATATTTAATATTACAGTTGTTGTTAAAGAAAGAACTGATAAAAACATGAAACGCACTAGAAAAGCTACATGTTTCAACAAAAGAATTCACAGATTCCTTGGCAAAACAAAAATACTTTAATTTATAAGTTGCAATTTCTTTAATGAAACTACTTTATAAATGTGCTGCCTCACATAATGAGGTCTGTCCAATAAAGGTGGCAAATGTGAGTAACTGGTATATATAAGTATGTTTCATACACATAGGCATAAACTATTTTACTCTAGGCAAATTTTAATTCAACTATACTTTTTGGTTTTTAAAAATTTAAAAAAAATTTTTAAATTTCAAAATGAAATTAAATCTTAACAATGCAAAAAAAATCCTACCAATGAAAAATTTGCACAAATGCAGCTGGAAAAAGAAAAAACTGAAGTCATTTGAAACTTCTTTATAAATTTCCTCAAACCAAACAACTTCAATCCACATGCTTCCACACCTAGACAGCACATAATTCCAGGAGACCAACTGCTTCTATACCAAGAGCACAGGGACAAGTCCAGGACCTGGAGCACACTGGGAATCCTGGGAACTTCTCCTCATGCTAAGGGGTACTAGAGACCTGGGGAAAGGGAAAGACTGCACAGTTCTGTAACCGCCTCTGTGGTTGTCTGTGAAACAGTGATGATAGGAATGATTGTGATGTGTTTTCCAACATTTCTCACTATGTCTCTTGTACTCCATTCCTTTGTATACAATTTTCAAGAGAATCAAATATATGCACTGTGTTAGAGAGACTATTTTAGGAAAAAATCTTCATTCCCAGGAGACACTCCAGAACTCTGTCCTCATGCTCATCACACCTCTGATCAAGTCATTTTATTTAAAAATTATTCCATGTACTAAATACACTGAATTTGAAGTGGCTTGTGTGATTTCACCTCAGTAAAAACAGATATTGGACACAAAAACCAGTCAGTGTCTTCCTACAGAATGTGGTTTGAAAGCCCTGCCATGAATTGGGCTCTCTAGGACTGGTTACAGGCAATCTTTCAAACCACTTCCTACTTTCCCCTCCTTGAGAAACTTTCTTCCAGCCTAACTGCTCTCATGCAGAGGGATGCTGCTTACTTCCACCATGCACTTCTGCCAGCCCTTGTCATGTGCTGGGCCTAGCTCCACACCTCTAAAGCTCAGCACTTTGTCACAATTCAAATCTTACCTGGTCCTGGAAGTCCTTGCTGATCTCTTTCCCACTTCTATCATGAAGTATGAGTTGCCTCTTCTGAGCCCCGGAACACTGCCATGGTCAGTCATCCCTTCACAACTCTCATCAGGCGTCTTCTGAGTGACAGACCCCGGCGTGCTGAAGACTGGATTTCCAGAGATGGTATCCAAGGCGTAATGTGTGTGTGGACACGGTTACACAGTGGTAAAATCTCAGCAGGATTCCTTATGATTCGTCACACCACATATAGTGACTCAGTCCCAGGACATCAGCCAAAACTCACAGGGTGGAAACCGATGGCAGTAACCTCTATCCACATCCTTGTTCATGTCAGCAGCCACCTGACACAGCTACATCACTGGTTTCACTGAGACAGCAACAGCTGAGTTCTCTGTCAAGCTAGAGGAAATGGAGAAGAAAAAGGGTCACAAGTCTAAAAAGCCTGCACTGTTACATATTAAAATTCCACAGCACGATGGAAGTAAATGAGTATCAATGACCAGGAACATACTGTCTCTATTAAATGCAGAGAGAAATCAACTCTGTCCACCAGACACAGCCACTCATTTTTACAAACTGGGATGCTGGCTCCCTTTTTTCCCTTTTGTTCTTTTCTCCTTTTCCCTTTTTCTTTTCTTTTGTCTTTTTGAGTGGACAGAAGTCATTGCTTTAATTCTGTTTAAGAAATGGCTGTTGCACACCCCATGGCAGAGTCACCAGCTGGCTTCGCTTGCAATTATTTACAAAAATAAATGTGAAAAAGTACCAGCTCTTTTGTGACCATGGAATCAATCTGACAACAGTTAAATGTATCTGACATATCTTCAAAATTGTACCAAACGGATCTGGAAACACTTGGTTTGGTCTAAGAAATGAAATGGAAGTTGGAGGAAGAGGCTGGCCTTGCCCCGAGCTCTGGGGGTCCCAGGCCAGCCCCGCCTGCACTATCAGCTCTGAGACCGAACACACAACACCCAAAATCCTCTCCTGTGGAACATTCTCATAGCTCTCATAGGGCTCCAGGGCAAACAAATACAAGACTGTAACAAAAAATGACACTCCAATTACAGACACTGTTAGGAGCAACATTTTGTTCACAGATGGGGTTAGGAGCTCAGTAGCGACCACCAGGGTACTGGCTTTCGTACTGGACTGGCACAAATCTGCAGCTGCTATTTTCGGGTCCCCAGAGCTCCTGCTCCAGCTGAGCCCATTCCCGTTTGTCTTTAGTGTCTTACCTGCTCTGATGTCTGGGGGTAGACTCCAGCCCCCTGGGTAGATGACACAGGGCTGCATATTGTTGTGGGAAATTTGGCTTCCACCTCAGGGGTTGGACTGGGGGAGATGATGGCACTGCTCTGGCAGGGGACTCTTCAGTCTGAGCCTTGGCAGTGGCCAGTGATCTGAAAGACAACAAAACATGGTACGGGCTGTGGTATTTGAGTGGGTGCATGTGAACCTACTTGCTGTGCTAAGCACTGGCTAGGCTGTTGACAAGTGACTTGAGAGACCTTGTACTTGGAGATCCTTGGTGGTTTCAAGGGTCCCTGTGGACCTGATGGGCTTGTGCTCTCAGGAACTGAGAGTGCACTGTCCTAGGACAAAGGGCTAGCTACTAGTAGGTGCTGACCTGTGAGGAGCAGAGCCCAGACAAATGAGGGAAGCAATATTCATAGAGTCATGCTGAGTCTGGGATGCTCTAGTCGCCTCAGCTCCTCCCATAGTGGCCCATCTGCCCAACCGTTTTGAAGCCCCTGTGTCCCCTACTGCGTGGGCCCCCTGCCACTCACCTAGACCCAGCTCAGAGATCCAGGACCTAAGGGGCACGCGCCTCCCCCATGGACATATCTTGGTTTCCGGGAGCCTAGTCCACGTGGTGCTGCTTCTCCTGCAGGGGCTCTCCAAGAGCAGGGGAAGGGGTCGGCTGTGGACGCTGCTCAGGGGTTCCTACTGCGCACCCATTTCCTTACCCTCCGTATTCTGAGGCAGTGGGTAACCTGGGCAGCCTGTTGGCTCACAGTCCTTTAGACACAGCAGGCAGTGGGAGTGGATCCCAACTGCCAAGCACTAAGCCTTCTGCTGCGCATGCTCTCCAGGTGCCCCTTCCTGGCACGTGCGGCCCTCCACCCGGTGCGTGTGGCCCTCAGGCCCGCCACCTGACGCAGGTGCTGCTTTCCCCCGCCCGAGGCCCCACCTCTTTGTCGATGGCCCATCCCTAGCGCTTGAGCCAGTGGCACTGTTGGCCCGCCCCTGGCGCTCCCGCCCCGCCCCTTGTGCTCCCACCCGCCCCTCGCTCTCCCACCCCGCCCTTTGTGCTGTGCACAAGGCCCTTCCTCGTGCCTGTGGCCCTTTCCCACTGCCTGTGCTCCCTACTAAACACCTGTGGCCCTTACCTTGCCCTTTCTTTGAAATTCCATTCAACCCAGCTATTTCCCTTTTGGGTGTCTTCATTAAAGACATATTACAGCGATCCATGCACACCCATGTTTACAGGAACACAATTCATAACAGCTAAACCTTGGAAGCAGCCTATATGTCCACCAACGGATCAGTAAGGATAAAGAAAATGTGGTAGCTATACATAGTAGAGTACTATTCTGCCATAAAAAGAATAAGCTTGAGTCACTTGCAGGAAAATGGATGCACCTTGAGATATGTTAAGTGCAATAAATAAATCAGACACACAAGCTTAAATACAGCATGGTTTCTCATCTGAGACCAAAGTAAATGAAGAGCAATATAAAAAAATGACAGGAAACAGGGAGATAAATTTTTGCAGACAGGAAAGGAAGAGACGGAGGGAGAGGAGAGAGACGGGAAGGGGAGAATGTGTGCAGTGCACACCAACTCCCCACAAACACTGTAAATGTTACGCAGGAAAATATGTGGACTAAGAAAAACTAAAAATGGAAAACACAGTGGTGACGGGGAAGACTCAGGCCTTTCTACTCCAGGACACATTCTGACCCTTGCCTGTGCTAGAATAGATGTTTGTGTTTAAAGAAAATAGCACACATAAAATAAAAGGAAGTTCTGAAGGAAATGGAGGCCCTCAGCTGTCTTGGCCGCCCTCTTCTGCTGCCCTCAAGCCAGGCAGTGGGGCTGACAGCCCTTGCAGAGCTCCTCGGCCAACACAGCACAGGAACTGCACAGAAAGCAGCTTTGCTCCTTCTGGGGTATTCCAGCCTTGGAACAGCCAGGTCTGCCTGCTGGAGGAGGAAGTGGGGACCCTGGGCTCCCCAGTGTACACACCTCCATGAAACCCTAGGAGAGAGGTCCTCATGCTTTTCTGAGCATGACCCCATCCCCTGATCCTAGAAACCTAACTTCAGCTGGCCAGAGCTTCGGCCCCAGTGCCCCACAGTTGAAGCTCTCTGCAAGGGTGGAGGAGTATTAAGACTCTGTTGCTCCACGCACAGGGCCCCAGGTCTAGCCCTGGAGAGCAGGAAAGGACAGTTCCACAGAACTCAGCAGACAGGGAGGGCACAGATGGGGGGGGCCAAGCAAGCAGCCAGGTGGCTTGGCAGTGTGCCGCATGACACAAATGCACACACATGCTCTAACACACCTGTACACACACGTGCACCTGCACAAACCTCTCCCACACACCTGTATACACACACGCAAACGTACCCACCTGCACGCCTCCCAGCACATGGTTTGCCCTCACACACAGCTCCCCGGCTGCTGCCATTTCTGTTGTCAGACCTGCTCTGCTAAGCACTCAGGCACCTCAGCACTGTCTTCATGCCAAGGCCCCACACCCAAAACTGTGGAGTCAGAGCCACCCAGTCCCTCTCTGCCAGCTCCTGGGCAAAGGCCCAAAAGGGCCCCAGCTCCACCACACACCCCTGACACTGAACAGACTCAGGTAACAAATGTGCCCTCCTGGCCAAGGAACTGCCTGCGTGACACTGGCACAGGCAGAGAGGCAAAGAGAGCCCCCAGATACCAGGCTGCAGGGAGCTGACCCCTAGGGTACAGCAGCTTACCCCAAGGGGACAGGCTAAGAACAAGACCTGTGATGCCTGACCAGGCCCATCACCAGCCAGGACCCACACAAGAGAGACAACAGCAGTGGGATCACCAAAGGGTGTGCAAGGCCTGGCCACACCCACTCCAGGCCCCACAGGTCATCAGCTGGCTTTGCAGTGTGGCCAGGGAGTCCTGGATGTCAGGCTTGGGATTGCCTGCATTCAATACTCACTGCAAAGCCCTGAAGTGACACCCAAGCCTGAACCACGTGTGACATTCCTAGCAACCCACAGTTGGTCAGGGAGACTTCAGCAGACAGGGTCAACAACACAGTAAACTGAGCGGTACCATGGGGACCCCACAAAGGGTGAGACCGAGGGCACCACTGGCTGGCAGCAATCGTTGCCCTGTGCCAGACACTTCAGAGACAGAAAGAGGGGTGTGGGTACAAATTTTGAACCAGCACAGGCTCAGGTGGACAGTGCAGATGCAGGTGCGCTGGCAGGCGGACCTCAGGCACAGGTGTGAGGACAGGTGCAGGTGGAGACAACTGCAGGTACAGTTGCACCATGGCCTGGGCTACCCTTCTCACTTGGGTTTCTTTAAAGAGCTTCCTGTCTCTGCACCTGGCTTGTGACTTCTTGTGAGCTGGTCCTGTCCCACTCTAGTGCCGGCCCAATCCAACCAATGTCCTGGCCCTGACAGGGTTGGGGACAGGCTAGTGACCCTGCTGTGCCAGCAAAGTGTCCCTGGAGGCTCCACTGGGGCTTTGCAAATCAGTATCCTCACCCTGAGCTAAGGCTGCAGACACCAGTAACCAGGGATGCTAGGGCCAGGCAGTCACCTCTTGCCCCTGAGCAGGAAGGGCTGGGGGAGTCCCACGAGAGCCCATGGAATTGAGAATGCAGGAGGAGGACACAGGGAAGGAACCACAGGAGCAGCACCGAAGCTTCCCATCCTGGAAGCAGGAACAAAGTACCCACTGCACCACACAAGCACTGCCTCCCGAGTGCCACAGGACAGCTCATAGCCTACAGGGACAGCAGCTTGACATGCAGCTTTGACAAAGGGTGGAGCCAAGGAAGAGGGACTTGGCAAGGATCACACTACCAGAACCTGCACTTGGAGGGCGGCTCTGCCTAACAAGCAAGAGTCTTTGTGGTCACTATCACCTAGGTCCACACCTGTCAATTCTGGATACTGCTAGGAAGGAGTCCAAAGGTGCCACACCCCTTCACTCCATCCCCTGTGGAAGGATCCCCCAGCCTAGCCCAGCCAAGCCCCACTGTGACTACAGAGCCCTCTGCTCTGCCAAGAGCTCCCAGAGCAGCCATGGTGCGAGGTGACAGAGGAACAAGGAACACGGAATCCTGTGTCACCCTGGAGCACCCCAAGGTGCGCACCAGGGAAGTCTCACCACTTGGGAAGAAGCAGTCATATCCTGATGGCCTTGTTGGTAAACTCACAATGACAGCTCCCCAGTGAGTCCACCCCAAAAGTGTCCTCTGGGCCTCCAGGCAGCAGCCAAGATGTGAGGCCCGGGAGCCGGCCATCACCCCCCTGCCTCTGGCCCTCAGGGAACAAGGCCAAAAGCATGGCGGGGAGGGTGCCAGGCAGCTTCAGGGAGATGGGCACGTGTAAGTGGGAGTGCACACGTGTTAATGGACGCACGATGCACAAACAGAAAGGAAGCAGAGTGGTTTCTGAGAAGGTGCCCTGCAAGGACCCTGTCCTGCTTGACACGCCACATTCGCTAAGGAAGTCCCAAGCAGCTCTCAGTGCCCAGGGGCCCTGGAGACCAGTGTGGGGTGAAAGCAGGATGCAAGGCCTGGACGGAGCCATGCATACATCATTACCGTGCATATTTCTCTTCAAAGGAAAACCCCAAACCAGTATTCCAGCACACGTGCACGTGCATGCACACATGTTCACAAACCCCCACCCTCGAGCTCTGGGCAAAGACAATGGTCTGGCAGCAGGGAGACTCTGCCCACTGGTGAATGAGGTCATGGCCACCCCATTCCCTTTATTCCTGCTCCCATTGGACAAGGACTTCTGTCACCCTGGTGCTAATGTACTCTTGGTGGTAATGATGCATGAAAAGTAAAACAGTAAATAAATACAACATTTAAAGTCAACAAAGAGGCCAGTAAAATCAAATATTTAAAAGTCAGTAAAACATGACCCCACAGAGGAGAGAATGCTGTGGGTAAACAGCCAGGAGCAGGACTCTGAGGGCAGGGGAAGGATAGGGAGCAGGTGAGAGGCCGCGAGGATGCACAGTCTCTAACACAGGCATAGCAGGAGGGGTAACCTGCACCCATGCTCCTCTGATGAGGTGATGGGCACAGACAGCTGGGTGTCCATCCAACCAAGGGTGAAGTTCGCAGGGTGGGGGCTATGAAGGGCAAACCTGCAAAGGGA